TACCAGTTCCCAATGGTTCTTGGCACCAGCAGGCCACCCGGAGGATCCGCTGAAAGACACACACAAGGTCTGGGGGTGCGGCCGCAACGGCGTCGGTCACTGCAGCCCTCTGGAAGTTCTCCTAGAGAGGTGCAGGGCAGAGCAAGGCAGGGTCAGCTTTCCCGGAGCTGGGGATGAAGTCTGTGGAGGGCAGACAAGCATCCAAAGATGTGGCCGAAAAGCCCCTGCTTTTAACAGCTGGGTTGAAGGTGTGGTGCGTCTTCAGTGTGTCTTATCAGGGTCCTACAGAGCGCGGGCCTGCTTGGAAGCCAGGGCTACAAAGTGTTAATCTTATCGTGGCACGCAGGCCTCACAATTACACTCGGTCACACAAGATGAAGTTACTTATTTCAAATCTAATACATACATCACACTTATATTCCTGACTCTAATACACACACAAATCTATTTCTATAACAATTAGGCCTTTAAGTCCTTTTAGGATTGTTAGCATTGTCTCCTTTTGTGTCAGAGAATATAGCAAGTGCTAGTAAAATGCATGTCGGTTTGAAAGTTATGATCCCTGTTGTGTAACATTCTTCTTTTTACAAAGATCCATCACCTACTTTATCAAATTTAAACTAATCTCATCAGTAAATATTTATTGAGCATGTGCTAGTTATGAAGTATAGCAATAAAAAATATAGTCCCTGTGCTTACAGGGCTCATCTGTGAGATGGGTTAAACTGCCTAGCAATACGGAACAGCATTAACTAGAGCCAGGTGAGTAGTGTAATGGTGAGGGCTACAGGGGTCCAAGAAGAGCCAAAGTCCACCTTCAGTTTTGCTGTTGGCCCAGACTGCTCCCCTCCAGAATCAGGAATCCAGCACTCTTTAGCCATCACCTCTCCTTACCACAACTTGTAGCTCTTATTCCTGAACACCTCCTAACCAGTGATCCGTGTGCTTTTTCCCTGTCCCTTGAATTCTGTGTATCCCTCAGGTCCTGTTGCATGTCTCACTTTCTCAGGGAGGCTTTCTGCAGTGTGGTTAGTTGTCCATGTTGGGTGCTCGTGTAGCGCCCTATACTTTCCCTTGGGTAGCATTTAGTGTGTTCTGCACGTATTTAGGTAGTGTCTTTGTCCTCTAGCAGGCTGAACTCCATGAAGGCAGAGACAGTGCCTGTAGTACATAGTGGGTGCTCAATAGGTACTATTGAATACATGAAAAATGTATACCTCTAGTCTAAAATAGTCATTTAAACTCAGTGGGGGGCAAGGGTAGGGAGGAAGGAAATGGGAGAAATGAGATGATATGAGAATAAAGTGGAGTTATGGGGGATTTATTTGTTTTGTTTTGTGTTTGTTTTCCCTACAAAGAGAGCAGGCCTCTAGCTCAGAGCCTTCAGCAGATGGCAGTATCTCTGAAAGTTAATGACATGGCTTTTTTTATTGTGTTTATGTGTATAGTTACTTTTATCCACAGATGTGATACAGACTTTCCTTCTAAAATAAATGTATGAAAGTAAAATAATGAGTTGATTTAAAGAAAAAGCATAAATAGTAATAACGTGGTGCGCGGATATAGCAAATGGCAGTAGAAAAAATGCATGAAATTTGGAAAATGCTGGCTTAGATGAAGCCACAGGAACACCTCATCAAAGTCCTGGGGAACACCTGGGCCCAAGTGCTTTGTTTCCTCTAGTGTCATTTTAGTGGGGTTTTGGGAGGAAATGAAAATAAGCACATGTTCAATCTATTATATATAACAGAGCCTGGAGTTTTTTGTTTTACTCTAAATAGTCTGTCCTTAAATCTGAAAGATATAGAAAGATACAGGAAGTTATTTTCATCATTCAACCATCCTTTCAAGGGCCAATGAAAATTAAATGACATTTACAGTGTATTGTAATTCAAACTTTGAGGAGTTTAATGGCAAAATACAATGATCCATTGTTTTTTATGTTAAATGATCAAGAAGCCATCATGAAAGTCTAAAGGAGAGTAAATGTCTTTTCCAAAACTAATTATTTTGGGCCCTTATAAAAATAACGCAAGGTGTTTCAGCCCATATTTTACAGAGATAAGAGTTGAAATTTTTCTTTGAGAGTCAGTGATTTAAAAGAGGAATCACATTACCAGGACAATGGTCATACTCACATAAACTCTTAGACTGGGATGTCATATTTCACTCTTCTTTTAAATTTGTGTGGTAATCTTTCCCTGTAGCTTACATTTGCATTTCTACCAGCTAGTTGTTTAAGATGTCAATTCTTCCCTTAATTTTACAGACTTTGAGCTAGAAATTTGGTATTCTTACAGACTGTCTCTTGTTATTGAAGAAACCGTTAAAAGAAGATTCTTTGTCTAACATTCTTGTCCAAGAGTGTTATAGCCTCCGAAGTCAGTATTTTTCTGTATATAGAGTGGTGCAATTTTCTTTCTAATATTAAAAGAACTACCTCAACTGTCTGCATTATTTATATGTAATATATCTATGTACTTGAACTACTTAGATTTTGAGCTCCATAGTTATGATTACGATATACCAGTTGACTTACATTATTGATGTAACAACAGATGGTAATGGTGCAGGTTGAAATAAAAGATCATTGAGCTAAATATTTTAACCTTCATTGGCTCCCCATTGCATAGAATTTGTCAGAGTGAAATAGAATCACACCATTTCAGAACTACAAGAGTCCTTATTTGACAAAGAAGAAAACAAGCTCAGCTACTTGCCAAAGTCAAACAGCCAAGTTCGTAGCAAAGCTAGGACCAGAATCTAGTTCTGCCATTTCCCAATTCAGTGCTCTTTATACCATCTCTGTGTAAGATTTTTAGGAGGTGATCTCTCTATTGCACTCTTTGATGTTGGCACCAGTTATTCTAATCAATTTTACATCTATTCATTTCTAGAACATAGAGTTTCACCCCTTATGAGTCTTTGTTAGTTAAACTTTATATCTGGCTTTCTTTTAGGTTGGTCTTCTCTCACATGTTTTCATCTTGAAGACTTCAAAATACATTTGGATCTACTCCTTTTTTGGAAAACTCCAATACCAAGCAGTAAATTACACACTGTACTCTTGCTATAGTATAGAAGCTTTTGAGTTCTCCAGAGCTGAACAAGATTGTCTCCCTATTCCCATGAAGCCACATTGTTGTTTATTCACTTTAGTGGTGGGTGTTACTATGCCGGCTGCTTTTGTTTTGGAAGATGGAGGATTCAACCAAATGGACCCACTGGGAGCAAATCATAGTTCTTTCAATGTATCATTTCCCCCAAGCTTTGAACTCTCAGCAGGCTCCCACTCAGGTGATGATGTCATCATAGCCAAAGAGGGAGCTAGTGTTTCAATCGAGTGTCTTCTCACCGTTGACCACTTTGAAGATGTCCATTGGCACAACTCAAAAGGACAGCAACTGGATGACAGAGGCAGAGGTAAGTATGCTAGGGTATAATTAGTCAAGGCTGCTCATTTCCTGTTACTTCTTTCTTCTTGGTTTTATAGCATATTCAATAAGAAATCTCAAAGGTGAGGTACCAGGGTGAATAGTTACAACTTTTGAAAGGCCTGGAGTTTTAAACCTATCAGAGAAAGCAAATTAATTATAATTACCTAACCAGCAGAAGAAGAAAATAAGGAATAGTTATAAATTGAAAAGGTATTCATACAATGACAGTGAGCTACTTTCTCTCCTCTTGATGAGTTGGTTTTCTTTTTCACTGAAGGTGGACTTCATCAGGGCTGCTGCATATAACCATGCAGGCTCTGTGTGGATACAGCAAGAAGGATTTGGGCTAGACTTAAGTAAATTTGTCCTAAATTTTTTAAAACATTGCTCAGAAATGAGTTACTAAAAATGTTAGAGGAAATCCAGGGTGGTGGTTTTTTTTTAATGATCATAGATCTGTGCATAAAAGTTTAAGTGCCTCTGAGAATTAGAAGGGCATTGAGGAGGAGCTCTGTAAACTCTTCTAGCTCCTTTTTTTTCTTTCTATCCTATACGCTTAATTTACTTGAAAACGGGAGTTTCTTGTATAATTTTTGTTTCTCCATCTTAAAAATCACATAAACATTATAATAATGTGACCAAGGTCTACCTTTTGACTGGTTTTTATTTGCTTTTGCTCTTTGTGGACCTATGAACACATCTTAATCTGTATACTATTTTCTCAGCTAGTCTTCTGTTAGAAAGATTTTTTTTAAAACTACTTGGGTTAAAGCACCTCAAAAAGAAATTACCATGAAAAATCATTGGGCTAAAGGTTAAATTTGGGATCCTTACAAGGTACACTTTCGGAAAAGGACCCTTATATTTCTTTGCTCGAAAGGTGGCCTGATCTCTTGGACTATAAAGGATATTTGCTTATTCACATTACAGTGGGAAACAGAAAAGGGACAGGTGGTATTTCCTTTTAAAATGTGTGCTAAACATTTTAACCATCTACAAACTGAGTAACTGACCACCAAGAGATTGAAGTGTTTGAATTGTTAGAAAGAACAGTGTATTTTTAACCAGCTTCTTAAGAAATAGACCTATTAAATCAGAATCTCTAGAGTGGTGCCTAGAATATGTACTTTGAACATGATTTGGGGTTCCACATTTGGACTGATTGACCTAGACTCTTACCTCCTTTGGTCTGTAGGATCCTGACCAAATGCATCTGAGATTTGAATTAATTCAGTTACCGTGATTAATACAGACTGATGGCATAAACAAAGCTTAGGTTAAGTTGAGACCAGCCGATTGGAATGCAGTTTTATTTTCCTATTTTGCCTTTACTTTGAAAACCATTAAACTAACATCTATCATTGATGCTTTCAACAATAGCTCTAGAAAATTGTGTTAAATTTTATGACTCTCAAGTGAGAGGAGTTTAAAGAGCATTCCAGTCTAGTACAAGGTTCATAAATCTTGAGCTATTATCTAGTGAGCTAGAGTTTAGATTGTAGGCGTAGCACAGTGGTTGATGAATGGAGTCTATGTAGTTCATCTTACTTTGGAGTCATGGGGTATCCTTTTCATAGCTCCAAGTTCATAGGACAGAAGCTTGAGGAATAGTGGCTATATTTATAGCTACATATTTTCCTCCTCTTTTTACATTGGTGAAGTGATGGCTCTTAAATATAACTATAGAATTTAGATAAATTTTGATGATGAAAACATGGGCACAATCCAAAGTGCTTACTAATTGATGTGACACTAAAATAATCCAGAACCATAGAATCTAAGGGATTAAAGAGATCTTGCAGATAAGGATTTGGGTGGTGCTTAAGCAGTCACCCAACCTCCTCTGGGACATCATCTGTAGTCACTGGAACTCACACCTACACCCCAAGTTAACCCATTGACCCCATCTTTGAATGACTGTAACAACTAAAGCACAGAGTACTCTGAGAATTTACAAATGTGAGAATTGTGTAGTCAGAGCCAAGTTATTAGAAGATATTGAATCAAGGTGGGTGGTCAGTATGCTTTGCTTTTCATACTTTTGTACTTCTGTACATGTGTTTCTGAATGAAGATACCTTCATATACGGAAAAGAAGTGGCATGTTTTAGGTGAAATACAGAAACCCAGGCATCTTAAAAGCAACTTTATTCTCTCTCAAGCTGCTCACATACCTTGACTTATGAGACATATTTTTTGGCTTGTGCTTCAGGTACTCTTGCCAGAAAATTAAGGTATCATCATCCACAAACTTTTTCTAACAAAACAAATTCACATGTGCAAGGTGTGCCATGTTAGCCAGTTAGTAATTGAACAAAGTCATTAAATTGGTAGGGGTTTTTCAAAAAGTAATTTTGTCTATTGTTATATAAGTTCATTATTGAAAACAAGCACAATTAAATAAAAAGAAGAAAATAAAAATTACTCAAACCATCACCGAGAAGTAACCATTGTTTTATATTTCTGCGGCATATTCTTCTAGTGTATGAAAATGTATAGGTAGAAATTGTGATGTAGACACACATACAGGCACACCTTGTTTTATTGCACTTCGCTCTGTTGTGCTTCACATACGTTGCTCTCTTTTTTTTGACAAATCAAAAGCAAGACCACCAGCAAAATGTTTAGGACTTGCTTTATTCCAATACTTGCTTTATTGGGGTGCTCTGGAACTGAACCCACAATATCTCCTAGGTATGCCTGTGTATATATTGTGTGTATATATATAATCTTTTTTTTATTAAGATTATTCATTTAGCATTATGTAGACATACCTGTCTCCCTGAAAGGCTTGTTACGTTTAGGTAACCGTAAAAAGGTAGTTATGGTAAACATTACTGTTACCGTAAAAAGGTAGTTATGGTAAACATTACTGTCTGGAAGGAAGATCTTGATTTCCTTTTCAGTTCCAGGCTATTTAAATTCTGACCCTGGATGTAGCTGTCTGCCCTTTCTTGCATGATTTGAATAAATCATGATCCTAATAGATGAGTTAAAATACTCTCATGAAGAAAAGGAATATTGCCTAGCCAGTTTGACTCAGGGGTTAGAGCGTCGGCCCTTGGACTGAAGGGTCCCAGATTTGATTCTGGCCAACGGCACACACCTCGGTTACAGGCTAAATCCCCAGCCCCGTGTGGAGGCAACCAATCAATGGGTCTCTCTCTCTCCCTCAACCCCTCCCTCTCTTTCTCTCTTTCCCTTCCACTCTCTGAAAAGCAATGGAAAAAATATCCTCGGGTGAGGATTGAAAAATAAATAAATAAATAAATAAATAAATAAATAAATAATAAATAGGAAAGGAATGGTGATAAGCCAGTTGGCATATTTAGTGATAATATTCTTTATGCTGTAATTTTTATTTATTTATTTCTGTTGGGTTATCAGGTGGAAAGTGGTTGGTTTCTGATAACTTCCTGAATATCACCAACGTAGCCTTTGATGACCGTGGGCTCTATACATGTTTCGTCACCTCTCCGATTCATGCCTCCTACTCCGTCACCTTGCGTGTTATCTTTACCTCAGGAGAAGACATGAGTGTCTACTACATGATTGTTTGCCTGATTGCCTTTACGATCACTCTCATCTTGAATGTCACCCGGCTCTGCATGATGAGCAGCCATCTCCGTAAGACCGAAAAGGCTATCAATGAATTCTTCAGAACTGAAGGGGCTGAGAAACTTCAGAAGGCCTTTGAGATTGCAAAACGCATTCCCATCATCACCTCGGCCAAGACTCTGGAGCTCGCCAAAGTAACGCAATTTAAAACGATGGAGTTTGCTCGTTACATAGAAGAACTGGCACGAAGCGTCCCTCTCCCACCCCTTATTCTAAACTGCAGGGCCTTTGTTGAGGAGATGTTTGAGGCTGTGCGAATGGATGACCCTGATGACATGGGAGAAAGAATTAAAGAGAGACCTGCCTTGGATGCTCAAGGTGCCATCTACATCATCAACCCAGAGATGGGGCGGAGCAATTCACCAGGAGGAGATTCAGATGATGGTTCTCTGAATGAACAAGGCCAGGAGATAGCAGTTCAGGTTTCTGTTCACCTTCAGTCAGAGACCAAAAGTATTGGTACAGATTCTCAAGACAGCAGTCATTTAAGCCCACCTGATGATATGGGATCTGCCGAGTCGAACTCTAACTACAAAGATGGGGCCTATGAAAACTGCCAGCTCTGAGCTCTCCCAGAAGCTCTACAAAAACTGCTCTCAGAATAGAAACGTGTTTCATGCAGGAAATAACATTTTTATCAAGAGATGACTGGGGTTTTTCCCCTGTTCAAATTAAGCACATCAAAATGTGCATTATTGCCAAAATCTTTGTAAAAATGCAGCGTTTTTCCTATCTGATATTTCTGTCTTTTTCCTCAAGCTTGAGTAGATGATATGCATTATGATTTAAAGGAGCCTGAGAGATTAAGTAATGGGGAAAGTACTGCACTAAGAGTTCCATGGCTTCTCTTCTAGTCATGGTTCTTCCACTGGTTAGGGCTGACCCGCATCTCAAGGCCTCTGTTTTCCCACCAATAAGGTGAGATATTTGCATTAAGTAATATCTAAAGGTTTTTCTAGCCTTATAACTTCTTATCCATCACCTTTAATCCACTGAAATCTTTAGCACATCCCTAAATAAGCACGTCTCTGGACTTTTAGTCCCTTTTTATGGAAAGGACCAAGCTGAGACTGTTCTGTGGTTTAGGTTTCCACACCAGTGCCGTAGTACATAAAGGTGTGGGTGAGTTTCAGATATTTTGGCTTGTGGAGTGTGCAATTGCATGTGCTAGATTGACTCTTTTCAGTGTAGCCCATGTCTGTATTGTTACACAGACATCAGGGAGCTTACTGCTCGTTAGTAAAGTACTTTCCATGAGTAAATTGGTCCTTCGGGAGATGTATCATGTCTTTCTAACTTACTGAGGTGTCATTGCACTGGCAGTGATTTCTCAATTAATCTCCAAAAGTGAGCAGTTTGTTTCTAAGGAATAGTGTCTTCAATGCTTTTAGAATAAGAAATAATGTGAAATCATCTGTCTCTGGTAAATCATGGATTTTGACATTTCTGTTACGAGAATTTCTCAGGCTTTCCCTTTTTGAAAGTACTAGACTCGACAGTAGGGTTCTGTGTTTGGGATCCCTTCCTGGGGAAAACCCAGAACTGGATTCCTCTTCAGACCTCTATCAACCTTCTTGCCCTCTGTGGTCTTAAATATGGTGCTAACGGTTGCATGCATGCTTCCTTATCTTGTTTGTTTTGTGTATATTTTATTGTTGAGGTTTTTATTTTTGTGTACTTCAGATAAAGAATTGAGCTAGGGCTGCTTTTGTAGCCTTTCTGGGGTGTACTAACCTGAAATAAGATTAGGTAATGGTGTGTGGTATATGTTACTATATTAAATATATTAAGTAGATATGCACATATAGATGTATATACACATACATACAAGTGATCAAGACATAAAGACGGAAAAAAATTATGGATGATGCCACCTGATTCAACTGTGTGTGATAAACACTTAAGAGACTGTTTCTTGTCTGGCTGAGATCTGATATAATGGATTGTAAATACTCTTCAGAACAATTTCTTTAGCTACAGGAAGCTTGGTGTAACATAATTTTAAGAACTTGGCGGTGGAGCTCCATTTGGTACTTCACGCTTCTTCATTTGGTTTCTGATTACTGAAGCATTTGAACTAGCGGGTCCTGAGGGAAATATTCAAAGGAGGTTTTATCAAGATTTTAATTTAAGGTTTCAAATGGAAGAAGGTAGGAAATTCAAAGTGTGACCAGATAGAACTCATGCCTCCCTTTGTCCAGGCTTATCAGAAATAATACATCTGCTCTGGAGAGCATGAATGAATCAATGTGCACTTTTATCGGATGGCATTATAGATAAATATGATAATGCTGCCTTTTCTGTCTCTCAGGCTGTTTCCATGGAAACCTTCAGAGCCAAACAAAAGCTACCAATCACTTAGCCAAAGCTTGCCTTGGCTCATAGACCTGCATTTCTTTAAGGAAAACTGCTTTCATACATTTGGCTATGAGAGCAAGGGCTCTTGAACGTACCCTAGATTATAGAACACTTTTTTCTTCCCAGAATGTTTTCTTAAAAAATTTAACGCTTTTTAAAATCCCTTGTTTGAGTTCTATCCCCTGAACATTCCTCAGATCTTCAGATAGTGCCCCCAATCCTGTACCAATTTAGCAGCTCTGGGGTCATATTAAAAAGAATGAATTTACTCAACATGTTCTCATAATGGACATGAGTGTTTGGAACCCTAAGGTAGACATATTTAATGATCAAAGTCATGGGAAACAGGACTTCGTAAAAATACAGGAAATATTGAAAAAAACTCTAAGTTTAGGCAATACTGTATAATAATTAAGTCTGGGCTACTCGAGTGTATCCTGGATAAGTTATTTTAGAAACATAATGGTGACTTAATTTGGTGGCCAAAGTAACTGGTTTGCTTTGAATATTCCAGGTGTCATCGATAAGGAATTAAAGTAGGTCAAAATTTAATCAGAGTTGGTATTTCTAAAGCTAGTTTTCAAGAGGAAGGAAATCACACTTACTGATATTTTCTGTATCTAATCAAAGGCTCCATATATAATTAATAGTCTCACATTATCTTTTTGTAAAATCTTTAGCCTTTTGAACTGTAGTCTAAAAGTCTTTTGATAATAACTCTGGTGTAATTATCCTTTTGTCTCATTGGGTTTTATAGTTAGTGACAATGCCTTTACTCAATAAGATGTATTTGAAATATTTATCTCATTTATAAATTTTGTCTTGTATTTAATGAACCTTATTGTCTTTATGAAATGGTGGCTTTGTGAAACAAATTTTCCAAAAATAGACATGTAAGCATTTTTATAGATATTTTACCAGCTGAAACCAGACAGACAGGCATCTTTTAAGCTGATAAGCTGCATCTATTATGATGGCTGAATTCTTAAGTCAGGCCAGTGAGCATTTGTATTTCCTGCCAACTACCTTGATATAAACATCTTGGGAGTTGCTGACCTGGAATGGTTGTGAGAAGGCCCCTGGCTTCTTTGCTTCACTTCATATGTATTTTAAAGTCAAAGCACACAGCTTTCCCTCAGTCCTCCAGCCTCAGTGAAGCCCTTGGTACAGTCCCCTCTACACCCTGCATGCTGTCTCACCCTGGATTAGACTTTGTCTCCTGTGTCCCCGGGTGGCGTGGGAACACAGCATGCTTGTTTCCCAGAGTCCAACCAGTCCTGGGTGCTAGCCTTGTCTCCACACACCAGCAGTTGTAACACAAGTAGGTCATATTTCACGAATCACCAGTAAGAGAACACAATCTTTTCTCATCTAAGCCAATAAGGTTGAAAATGCTCAGTCTTATACATAAACTCAGGTTCTCAACACATTTCATAAAATGAGTATTATTTGGTATCATTCAGATGATGTTTAAATGGCCACCATTTTAATGAGTACTTATATCATAATGCTGTCCTTTTTAAAAAAATGTCATCCTCAAATGTAAACTATTAAATGTTTAATGTATTCTATTTTGTTTGTCCGAAATCTAGAGAGTATATAGTCATTTTTATGTGTGATGGAATTTTATTTTAATGATTTTCATTTAAGCACGAGTAAATCTGGACTCAGATTAGATGCCACCATGGCTACCTATTTCAATTTTACAAAGATTTACTCAGCATTTATGTTTTCGGTGCTATGATTCATACTTACATGGGTGTCCTGCCCATAGTTACCAGACCATCCTCGCTGGGCCCGAATGTAGCCATTTTCCACTTCTGAAGTAAAGCAAGAGCTTGAGCAAAGGCCTACAGATACGAGGATTTAGCACATGTTTGGGGAAACATGTGACTAGTATGTAAAGTTTGTGATGAGATTTGGCAGGTGGTAGCTCTGTTAGAAGCAAGCACCTGCAGTTCAATGGGAGTAAAGGGTGATAATTGAAAAGCACAGGATCTCAGAAGCAGGCAAAGGGAACAGATAAAGGTATGATTCATTACGTGAATGTCACAGACTCCTAGGATGAAAACCTAGCTCCCTATGGCAGAAGATCACTGGCCTTGGAGTTCTAATGTCTCTGGTCATGTAACTATGGGACTTGGCCTCCCTAGACATCAGTAAAATGGGGTTGATAATACCTACCTCACAAAATTAACATGAGGATTAAATACAGAAACAAGACATGGTGCTAGCTATAACCTGCTACACAGTGTAGACCTAGTCCATCAGTGTCAGCTCTGTTAGCAGTCAGGTCCAGCTGATGACTAGTAGCATTCGTACTCAACTAAAAATTCCCCCAGATCTCTCTCAGTTACAAGTGCATTTGACTGCGTGCCATAGAAACCCAGTTGTGGTGGCTTACCCAGATAGGAGGTTTATTTTTCTCAAATAGGAAGTCCAGAAGAAAGCAGAAAAAGGCCGGTGCAGGGGCTCACGTCTCAGGACTCGGGCTCCTGCTAGATTCCTCTCCACCCTTACTAGGTGGCTTTCATCTGCATGGTCACAAGATGTCTTAGATTGGGTTCTTCCAGGAGTCCCTGAGGAGGATTCATGTGCAAGTAGTTTATTGGTAAAGTGATCCCAGGGAGATAGGGGAGTGGGGAAGTAAGACAGAAAAGAAGAAAGCCAGTATGGGATGCATTAACGAGTGGGTTACTGCTGTGGGCAACTGATGTTTATTCCTACCCAGGACCTCGGGGAGCTCTGTGTGCCCCCAGTGTATGTAGCTCATGCCTCAAAATTGTTCCACCCGGAGGCCAAGGAGCTGGGATATTTATGAACCAATTCCCACTTGTCATTGAAGGCTGCTCCCAGGGTCCCTGACTGGTGCTTCCAACCTGTCGCCCAGAAAACCCCTCAGGTACGGAGTGACAGGAGCTTGTGGGTAGGAATGGTGAGTGTTAGCAGGTTATGCGCAGAGCACCGACAGCACCTGCTACACAGGATAACTTCACCTCCTGCATCATGTCTGTGTTCTAGGCAGGGAGAGGGGTAGAAGGTCAAAGGACAAAGACACATAGCAGCTGAGTCTGTACCTTTTTATCAAGAAGGCAATAGCTTTCCTGAAGCCTCACCCGACTACTGTTCCTCAGCTGCCGGAACTGGGTTACGTGGCTGCCTGCTGGAGCTGTAAGAAAGCCTGGGGAGATGAGTGTGTGTCATGGATAAAATTGTAAACCATTTTCCCTGAAGTTATTTACATGCATGAACAAAGCGAGAATGAGACGCAATAAATCAGGCTAAATCTTCAAGCCGTCACTTATATTGTCTCCAACACAAGTGGCTCAAACAGCAGACACACTAGTTATGGGATTCTGCCATGGCATAACTGGCTTATCTTAGCCTTTTTATTAGCATATTTACTGACCACCTGCCAAGAACACACAATGACAAAGTCCCTAGAAGAGAGCGAGTTGGCCTGTTGGAGAAAGAAGAACCAGGCCTGTGTGGCTGATGAGGGGAGACAGCCAGAAGCAAGCAGGGGCCAGAAGTATGGTTAATAGACTTCAAAGCTCTTCTTGGCTGGCCCCAGAAAAGCATTTCTTAGAAGAAATACTAGAAGTACCTAAGTTGGAAGAGGAGGAGACTTACATATTTAGGGAAGAAAGTTTGCTCATTCAAATAATACTATTTTCTCCTGAAGTCATCAGCAAAAAAAAACAAAAAAATGATTGCGCTAATTTCCTTTAAGGAATTAAACTCCTTCAGAGCCCCTTAAATTCCAGTCATGTTCTTGGGTTTTCACGTTTTCTCTGGAACCTATTGATTAGGAAATATATATGTAAATATGCATATGTCGCTCCATCTGCCTAGAAGATCGGTGGCTGGTGCACTTACTCTTCCTGATAGTCGGGAACACTTTGCCTTGCCTCCGTCTCAGCTGTGTGAAAGGGAGGACTCAGTGTCCTAAGTGATGATAAATTAGCCTTCAAGGGGCCTCCTTCCCATAGGAGAGCCGCTCTCTGGGAAACTGTTCCTAAGCAAAAGGGGCATCCCTCAGGGGAGCTCCCTCTGTGAGAAAGTTTCGCTGTGTGAATCTCATTGTTCTTTCAGAAACTTCAGGCAGACAGTTGGACCGTGCCAGAGACTCCTTCTCTTAAGCCCTCTGACCTTGAGCGTCTAAGCCCTCTGACCTTGAACATCAATTTTCCAATGTTCGTTGCACACAAACTAGAGATACTACCATGAGCAAAATCAGAGGTGGTCCCTGCCTTCTGGGAACTTACAGCCTGTGAGAATATATACCCTACTCAACGAGTCACATATCGGGAGTATAGTTAAAAATGGAGACGTGTGCTAGAAAATGATTCTGTGAGAGCCTAGAGCAAAGGAACCTGATCTAACTGGAGGTCAGGGGAGAATTCCCTGAAGAAGTGGCACTTGAAGCAACAGGCATTGCTTGTGGGCTCTTATGTTCCTATCCCTGAGCCAGAGACTGTGGATATAAGTCATGGGACCTGCTTAGACCAGTTTAAAAAAGCAAGGTGTTCCTACAATAAACCATCTGAAAGAGACAGTGTGTCATCAGATGTTAAATGTGTCGGCGCTAGATGATAAACACAAAAGGACATAAAGATGAGTGAGTGGTAGCAGAAGGTGGGCAGTGCTTTGTGGATGAGGTGAGATTTGAGCCTGACACAGGAAGATGGGCCCACCGTGAATGGGGAAGGAAAGGTGTTCATCTGATCATGGAGCTCGGAAATCCTCAGTGGTGCCCCATTACCTAAGCAGGAAAAAAATATCCAGCTTCCTGACACTTCACCATCTGCTCCCAACCTGTCTTCCCAAGTGTGTCCTTTGAAGATCCCGTCCACATCTTTGGAAATACATCCACATATTCTATCTTTTCTATTATTGTCACTCTTTCCTTACCAGTTTGGGAACAGCTTGAGAGTTGGCATTATATATTCGTCGCCTATCTTCGTAGCCCTTTATCCTTTAGGGCAAAACCTTTCATGTAGAAGAGACCATGAGTGTTTGTTTCGTTTAGTGGAATGGGAAGGGTGAAACTGCTCTGCGAGAGCACACGACCATGACCACTGGTCAGCATGGGACTTAGGGATGAAGGTTCGGCTGACCCTTCTCCACCAGCACTCTTCTCCTTGGTGACATCACCCACTTTCAAAGTTTAAATAAGACCTTCACACTGGTGACTCCCGAATGGGTATTCCCAGCTCCAAATGCTCTCTTCCTAACTTATGGATCCAACACCTCCCTGCTTGGCATCTCTACTTGGCCAGGCGTCTCTAAAAGGCATCTCATAATTAATATGTCCAAAAACAAGTTTTGATTCCCTGCCCTGATACCAAAAGGACACATCGGCGTCTTCCCTACCATTTTTTCTTAATAAGTGGCACCACCACCTACTCATTTGCTCAAGCCAGAAACCTGCATCATCCCTGATTTGTTTGCCTCCCTCTCCTCACTCAAAAGGTCAGCAAGTCCTGGTGTCTCATTTCAGAAAACATCTAATCTTTACTCTCTGCTTCCATTGATACCATCGTAGTCCGAGATGACACCATCTCCTACCTGTACTATTTAAGGTGCTTGCTTCCACTCCTGTCCCCAGGTCATCCATTCTCCACACTGCAACCAGAAGAAACTTTCAAAAGCATAAGTTACATTATGTCACCCTCTGCTTATGTCCTACAGTGCTTCCCACCCCTAGAAGACAATTCTAGAAGAAAATCTGTACTGCTTCTCACGGCCTACAAGACCTTGTATGAGCTGGCTCCTTCCTGCGTGTCTGAGCTCAGCTCCCACCCCCCTTCACCTCACTCATGACATCCAGCCACCCTGACCTTGCCGTTCCTCAAACACACGTCAGCTACGTGAAAACAGGGACCTCATCTATCCTATTTCCTATTATACTCCCAGCAACAAAAACAAAGTTTGGCATCAGGCTGGCAATCACTAAATATTTGTTGCATCTTTGCTATAGATGGATGGGTGAATGCTGATTAATTGTATGAACTTAAAGAAATCATTTAATATCTTTGCCTCACTTTACCTCCTTCCCTGATGTAAATGGAAGGTAATACACTACTTGTCTCTTTTGGAACACAAGGCAGTTAAGATAAATGGGAAGGCCAACGGCTTTACCGCTTATTGTGAGGAAAACATTGGAGTGTATGGGCAAGGAGCCATTTGAAAATGGCAATGACAGGCTAATGGAGAAAGAAAGTAATTTGTTTTATTACCCGTGAACCTCCTGGGGACTGAGAAAGGTAGGGGGAAATGAAATGTACCCATTTATATAATATTAAAATTCATAAATCCAGCTTACATTAATTCAAAGTAGAGTAACACTTTGATTATCTGGCATCAATAGGTATTTTGCTAAGTGTTTTGTTTTTTTATATATAGTTAGTGCTCCCATTGTAAGAAGATTTTTTTCAATTTGGCCATTGTAATGGAAATAGTTTTCAAATGAATTTCAGCGCCACTTCCTCTGGCAGCACACTGAGCAGAGCCTTTTGTCACTAACTCAAGGACATCATTATAGGCTTATTATATTTGGGTATAAAATGGTGATAAACTCTGAAATCACAGATGTGTAGAACTGTTAGGTTTTCTGAGCTCTCATGTGTATTGCATAGGTTTTTCTCTCTTCTCTCGTTTATTTAATCAACAAGTAGGGCACCTGGCACCTGCAGGCCGTCTTCTGAGGACTATACCCAAGACGAATGTGGTCCCTGCCCTCTTGGAGCCCACAGTGTGCTGGGGAAGACTACAGTGATCAGGTAAGTACAAGTGTGGCAAGAACCTCAAAGGCCTACGTTGGGGCTCGGGAGAGGCCTCCCCAAAGAAATGGCTTGCAAAGTTGTTGCTCCGGGCAAGACTGTTCCAAGCAGATGGAAAAGCATGTGCGGTGGTTGGTCGTGAGAGCCAAGGTGCATTTGAGCAGACAGCATGGCTCCTGACGATGCTACAGAGCCATCAGGGCCAAGTTGCAGGCCCTTTCTCCCATAGGCCCAGGCTAGGAATCTGAGTCTTCATTCTACAAACAAATTAAATGTTTTTAACAAGGGGAGCAGCATAACACTTCAAAATATGTGTTAAGAGAAAATTAAGTAACGACTAAACCTAGTGCTTTCACACATATTTTTGGTCTAGATGAAGTTAAAATAAGTGGTACCAGAGTAATCCTTCACCCACAAATTATGGGATTGACAAGTGGTGCTCAGGGGCACAGGCGTAGTGCAAACATTGAGAAGTGGATATTCAGGTTTAGAAAGTGCAGGCTTCTAAAGGGACCTCATTATTGGAGGCCTGTTATAGAATTGTCCACGGAAGAGCACAGTTTCATTCAGTTCAGCATTGTCCGAAGCACGTGCTATATACCCACAGCCTAAAGAGACGTGTGTTAGGGTGGCTGAACATGCACTGGAAGCAGATGCCTGAGTCCCAGGCCTCCCTCAGCCACTACCTGCACCCAGGCCTTGAGCAAGCCTCTTTCCCCATGGGCCTCAGTTTCCTCTCCTCCAGAATAAGATGATACCTAAGGGTCCTCCCCTGTCTGGAATGCTGAGATGCACAGGCAGGGGGCTCAAAGTGGGGAGGGGCTCTACCACCTACTCACCAAGTACCCTTGGACAGGTTAACTTCTTTGAACATCAGTTTTTCTATTTGTGAAAACCCTACCCATCCGTGATTGTGAGGGCTAAAACACCGGGCCCAGAGAAAGAAATCGGTAAAGGTTAAGATCCCTCTGTAATTTTATAGCTTAATAGCTAATGGATCACATATTAGTCCACTAGAGCAGGAGCAAGAATTTGAAAATGAATGTTTCCTTCAGGGGGAAAAAAAAAGGGGGGGGGCCTTATGAATTAAGATCTCATGCTACATATTATATGTTTCAGTGTCCTTCTGAGACTTAGTAACATTTGGGGAAGCATCTTGTATCATCCATCTGCCCAACTTTTGTGCTCTGGAATATCTTTCCTCTAACAGCTTGGCCAAACTCTGTTTTACATGTGTTTGTTCAGTTCTGCTATCCCAGGTCTGTCTATTCTGAGCATGTTATTAACCTGAACTTGCATGGATCAGTATAAATTCTGCTAAAAGCCAATGTTTTCTTCATTTCTAAGCATCAGCACAGAACTAAGTTTGCATGGTTTCTTTGTGGTCTCTTTACAGACCCCAGGGTGTTAATAACGAGTCACATACCCTCTACTTTTGTTATTATTTTTAAGTAACTGGGTTTTAAATGATAAGCTTAATACATGCACATTATTTTAAAATATGAACAATATAGAAGATTTTTAGGTTTGAAAAAATCTTTTCTCTGCTTCCCACTCCTTGCTCCCTAGTTATACTCCACATATATTAGCAGTATTTTACACATTCTTCCAGAAATGTTTTCCTTCCCTCCCTCCCTTTCTTTCTGTATATATTCTACATAACTGTATTTTACACAAGTAAGATTATACCATCCTTCTTTCCCACCTTCCTTTCTTTATGTATTCATTTTACACAAATGGGACTGTACTATTCAGATCCTATATCTTGGATCGTATATCTTCAGATCCTATATATTTTTCCATAGGAATGTCTATAGATGTGCCTCACTCTTTAGAGCAGCTGTCTGGCATTTTTATTTATGGGATGTTCCCTTTAACCACGCTTGTTGGTGAGCATTTTAGATGTTTCCAATCTTTTGCTCTTATACACATTTCTGTAACAAGTATCTCTGGACATATACCTTTGTACACTTGAGGGGCTTTATCTGTAACATACGGTCTCATAAGTTTTAAAACTCAAAAGAGCATTTTCCTATATGTTCACCAAGCCTGTTACTGCTAATGTCAGACCTCCACAAAGAGCTCCTTCCAAGGCTGGTGGCTGCCATAATGGGCAACGTACGTACAATCAACACCTTGAAAGGTATTATTAATCTTCATTGTGAAGATAGGTGGAAACTGTAGGAAAGTGCTTAACGAGTGTCTGATACACCATCGTTACCTGATAAATGGTGGCTGTTAGTTGTATCGCCTTTATCCTTGTAAAAACTAGTCAAGAACTTATCCCCAAGGCCTGGGGCTAAATATAACACAAGTCAGTGGGTTGGTATAATATTAGTAAATTTTACCTGGTGCTATTTTTAGGATACTCAGCCATTTATTTAAGAGGGATGTCCAGTGAAACAGGGAAGTCCTTCTCAGGTGGTAAAGGAAAACCTACAAAGGATTATGTTTCAATATTAGAAATTCTCTCTGGACAGATCTCCAACAAGCGCTGACATTTTCAACAACAAAAATCAATCTGCAGTTGGTTGGTGTTAGTCTGAGCATCTGTAGAAAAGGCATCGCCGCCTTAAACCAAGTAGTGTTGGGTTTGGTCTCCGCCGGCCGTAAGAATATGACTTGAAGGAAGATCAGGCCTTTGGGTTCCATTCGCTCGCTCACTCACTCATTTATTCAGTAAATGTTCCCTGAGCATCTGCTGGGTACCAGACAGGGCTCCAGGTTACAGAGGATGCAGCGTGAGCCCAACAGAAACGGCACCTGCGGTTAACTAGTCTTGTAACCATGGGCAAGCCTCTTGCCCTTCTTGCACTTTACCTTCCGTGCCCCTAAAGTAAGCTGGCTGAACTGCATTATCTCCTAGCTCTGCCCCTCCCAATGTATTATTCTGTGCCTCTCCTTCGTGTGTGTTTTTTGTTTTTTTTTTAACATATCTTTATTGATTTCAGAGAGAGGAAAGGAGAGGGAGAGAGAGAGAAACATCAATGAGAGAGTCATTGATCGAGCCCACAACCCGGGCATGTGCCCTGACCGGGAATCGAACCCCGATCGCCTAGATCCTAGGTCGACGCTCAACCGCTGAGCCACACCCGGCCGGGCTCCTTAGTGTGTTCTTAATGGTGATCACAATGTTGTGTAGCACTAATTGATGTGCATGGCACATGGGGTACCACAGGATCCTTCACAGCTGTGCCCCCAAGTTCCGACCAGTGGGTGCTGTCTTAGCTTCCTTAGGCCACCATAGCAAATTACCACACACATGATGGTTTAAGACAACAGGGCTTTACTTTGTCACAATGCGGGAAGCTGTAAGTCTGAAATCAAGGTGTCAACAGGGCCATGCTCTGACTATTTGCGGAAGGATTCTTCCCTTCCTCTTCTGGCTTCTGGTGTTGCCAGCAAATCCTTGCTGTTGCCGGGCTTGCGGCTGCATTACTCCAATCTCTGACTTCATGGTCACGTGGCCTTCTCCCTGAGCGTCTGTCTGCGACTCTGGTTTCTCTTCTTATAAGGATCACGGTCGTTGGAGTACGGTCCACCCGTCTCCAGCATGATTCAGCTGTGACTTTGCTGTTACATCTGCAAAGACCCATTTGCAAATAAGGTCACATTCTGAGGTTCCAGGTACACATGGAGCTTGGCAGGGGGATACACCATTCAGCCCAGTACAGATGTTATTGCCCTTTGTTTCTACCAATGATATGCACTGTCACAGCAGTGTCTACGCTGAGCTGGAGAGATCATGCATCCTGGTGCGGAGAGGGGTGCCCTGGGAAGAATGGGGAGTCATTTCATCCCTTCTAGCTGGGCACCAGAAATCCAAGCACTTAAAAGGGTGTCCACATGCAGGAAGCTCAATGGCCAGGCTTTGCAGAGCTGGGGTCCAGGGCTCTAGCTCTGCAGGCGATTCCAAGTGGAACCTCTGCCCTCCCACCTTATTGGCTGTGCATCTTTGGGAACATTAGTTTATTTCTCAAAGCTCAGGTTCCTTTGTCTATAAATCGGGAATAATAATAGAACCTTCTAATAGGAGTGTAGCAAAGAGGAGATGTTGTGAGGAAAATAATTCATGTACGACATTAAGCACAGTGCCAGGAGCACAGAAATGTACTTAATAAATGTTTGTTGTTATTAAAATATCTACTCATTTTTCCCTGTGCTGGGAGATCTTTCCCACCACAGAAACATATTATTTCTCTCATATTAAAAACAACAACTAAAAAAAAACAAAACAATCCTTTCTTGACTCTATTCTCAACACTCTCCCGTTTCAGCAAAATTTTGCAAAAAAATTATTTATCCTCTGTGTCTCCAATTTCTCCCATTGTACAAACAGGCCTCTGCCCCTCCCCCACCCCTCCACTGCATTGTCCTCGGTCATTGTGGTCCCGCATGACCTTGACGCTGCTAAGTCCACAGTCAGTTCTCAGTCCTCATCTTACTTGGCCAGTCAGCAGCTTGTGACAGTTGACCGTTTCCTCCTTCCCAAAATATTTTTTCACTTGGGTTCCTGGGACATCACGGGCTCATGGTTCTCTTTCTCCTTCCTTCCTACATCAGAGTCGCCCTAGGGTTCCCTCCAATATCTCTTTTTTATCTATACTCCCTCCCTAAGTGATCTCATTCAGGCTTATGGCTTTAAACACCATCACTGATGGCTCACAAACTTAGATGTCCAGCCTAGACATCTCCCCTAAAACATTTGGATCTCAAACAGACATCGCAAACTTAACATGTTCAAAATCAAACTCCTGATTCCCCCTCCTACCTGTCCCTCCCCCCATCTTCTCCGTCACAGCAAATGGAGACCACATCCCTCCACTTGCTTGGGGTAAAAAAACCTGAGTGTCATCCTGACTTTTCACTTTCTCTTACACCCTGAATCAAATCCATCAGAAAAGTCTTCATAGTTCTATCTTCAAAATCTATCCGGAATCTGACCACTTCTCACCACCTCCGCCGCCGCCACTCGGCCTAGCCACGATAGTTCCTCACCC